AGGAACAAAAGTAAAACGTTATAGAATTTTAATGACCAAAATTAATAATAATAACAATAAAATAAAAATAAAAATAGAAAATATTTTTTTACTAAAAAAAACCTTAGAATAGTTAAAGCTGTATTTAATTTTAGTGTAGAGTGAATAATAATTAAATATAATAAAAATTTAATGATCAAAATATATAAAAGATCACAAAAAAAAAAAAAATCAAATGTAACAAAGAGTTTGAGTAAAAGTAAAAAATAGTTTCTTGCGAGAGAAAAAAAATCAAATATAGTAAAAATTTAATGATCAAAATAAAAAACAATTACAAAATAGGGACTAAAAAAAATTCTACTAAATTTAATGAAGAAAATAAAGAAAAAAAATCACAAAATAGGGATTATAATAAAAAGAAAAGTTTCACTAAAAGCTAATAAATAAATAAATAAAAGCTTAGGATAGTAAATTTTATTTAGTTTTAGTATAGTATGGATAAAAATCAAACATGATAAAACTTAATGACCAAAATAAAAGCATATCACAAAATAAAAATAAAAAAGAACATAAATTTTTACTAAAGTCAAGAAAAAATATTTATTATAAGGATAAAAATTAAATATAATAAAATTTTAATATTTATTATAGGGATAAAATTAAATATAATAAAATTTTAATGATCAAAATAAAAAATATTAGAAAAAAGAGATTAAAATAAAAAAATAATTTCCTTAAAAGCTTGGAAGCTAGCAATCCAAATGAAAAAAAAAAAAAAAAACAATAAATGAACAGTAAAATGCTACAGTAATTTCTTATTTTCTTTTATTTTTATTGTATTTGTAATTACATTAAAGCACGCACCCATTCGTGCGGGATCGACCTGAATCATTCTTCTTGACTTATACTGCATAAACAATCCGACATTTGCTTACCAAAGCTGATCATGTCTTTGTCAAGTTTATATTATATTGTCTTGGTCTAAAAATGTGGATAAGATCCAGTAACAGACAACTAACGCGACAAAAAGAAAAAGTGAAACGAAGAAAACAGAAGATACAGTGGGGCCATATATGTGGGTTAATCATGATCCCCACTAATCGTGGTCCAGAATCTTATGAGATTGCGGCTGCTCAAACATGGATTTTCTATTATGCTTTTACTGGCCGAGAATCTATCGTCCGTAGAAGATGGATTTGTATGTCTCTGGAATTTTGGGTATTATTCATTGTAGTTGGATTTTGGACCTTTTGAATTTCAAGTCTTTGGACTCTTTTGATTATGGATTTGTTATTTTTTCTGAACATAATTAGATCAAAAGTTGCCGGGAATTCTGGCTCTAATAAAATTTATTTCTCTAATTCACAATATATATATATATATAAGGTGCATTCTTTTACACATATTAATTTAAATAGTTGAAATTATATTTCATATAAAAAAACTTAAACTTCATAATAAACAACCCATTCAATATTTTTTTTATATTATTTTATAATTTTATATTTATTTAATATAAGATATGTTCATTACTATTCTCTCTTATAATCTATTTTTGGATTTATAAAGTAGTCTAAACCCTATGATCTTAGAATTGAATAGACCATTAGGCTTGTTTAAAATTCTAATATCATAGTTACTAAAAAATAAAGATTTAATTTTATTAAAAAAAATTATTTTAAATGAAACCAATTTTAATTTTCTAGCTTAATAATATACATTGTCTAACTGTAGCTAAAACTACACACTCTCATTTGTTAAAAACAAATGTGCAGATGTGTTCGTTGGATAAAGATTTTCAGTTTATTGACACGACCAAATATAATTTGCTTTCTTAATAGTTTAAAATAACCTGAATTTTCTTTATTATTGGCATTTTTCTTTCTTCCTTTCTTTTTCTTTGCACCTCCTACAAATCTCCTCGAGTTGTCGACTTTTTGATTTCAAAGATCTTTGAGTATTATGGTTCATCTCAAGGAAATTGTTGATATCATAAGACAAATCTGGAAAAACTACTTATGACTTAAGTTTTTAGGTTAGATTCTAAAAATAATTTTATATTATTCTTTCATAATAAAAAATTCTTTTTTTTTTTTTCTCATGTAACTACCTCTCTGATTGGCTAGTAAAAAAAAAAAAAACAAAGAAAACAGAGAGGGAGAAAATCCAATCGGAGACCGAACAATTGAGACAGGACATGCAAAATAAATAACAGAAATACGTTCGATGACGAGTTGAACATATACATTAATGCACGATGTCAGCAGAAAGCAATTATAGTATTTCAAATTAATGACAAATCCCTATGAAAACATCAAACATTGTTCGTTGATGTCTTAAGCCCTGTTAGAGGTCGACATTGGGTCCCAAACACCATAATTTTAGTATGGAACTCATAAGCTTAGCTTCCTATATTTAGAAAGATAAAAATTGAGTTGTAGCTTTTATACTATATACCATATAATATTTTTAAAATTTATATGAAAATATATTGAACTTTAAAATAATATTTTCTCTCTTTCAAAAAGATCATCCATCTTGTTATTTATATTTGTTTCAAAATATTTATTTAGTCAAAATTTTAAATGACATATTTTTTTTAAAAATATATTTAGTTAAAATCTATTTTGTAAAATATTGTCCAAATATAATTTAAAAACAAAAGTATTTTTGAAAAATATGAATAAAATAGAATAATATATGACATAACAAGTAATTTGTTTTTTTAATATGTGAGAAAAGTCAATTGAAATAGATTTTTTAAGATAGACAGAGTATGATTTATAACTACCTTAAAATATTTTTAGTTAAAATCTATTTTATAAAATATTGTCCAATTATAATTTAAAAAACAAGAGTATTTTTGAAAAAATGAATAAAATAGAATAATATATGACATAACAATTAATATATTTTTTTTAATATGTGAGAAAAGTCAATTGAAATAGATTTTTTAAGATAGACAGAGTATGATTTATAACTACCTTGTGTTTAATTAATTAGAAAAGTAAGTATGATTTATAACTACCTTTTGTTTAATTAATTAGAAGAGTGAGTATGATTTATAAGTACCTTGTGTTTAATTAATTAGAAGAGAAAGTAAGATAGTAGGATTCGAACTCGCGACCGTTTAATTATTAATGCTCGATATCATATTAAAGGATCATTTTATCTAAAAATTTAAGTCGTTAGGTGAAATCGTAAGATATAATTTATATTATTCTATAACAGAAATCCATGTACATCATATACCGCTACCCTTTAATTAAGCAAACACACACTTTATAACTAATTAGATTTGGAATTTCTCATAGGAGGTCATGTTCACATTTTGGAAAATGGTGAACGAGGATTTGAAAATTGCTAAAGAAACAGGAGAGAATGTCTTAAGTCCTGTTGTGAAAACATCAACCAGGGATGTCTTACACCCTGTTGGGGGTCGAGATTAATGCCAAACACACCAATCACTATAATTTTTGTATGGAAGCCAAATGCGTCGTACAGAAGATTAAAATTAAAATTTGGAACTTTTGGTTGAAGCTTTATAGAATGTGGATTAAAATTTAGATACGGAAAGATGGTTTATCTGGTATTGTATAGCCAAAAAGCTTAACGAATAATATTTCGGAGAAAAAATAAATCAAATAACAATATCAGATAGCTAGCTATCAATAGAAGCAGATCTCAGTCCTCATGCGTTACAAATATTTCAAAAACACCAAGCACGAGCTTTAATGCTTTTTGTTGAATGAGAAAAGTTTGGTTGAGGATTAGATTGCAGTTTTGTTTCTTTTTGGTCCTAGCTAAAACTTTGTGTCTTGATTCTTGCAATATGCGAACGATGAGTTGCTAAATGCAAGAGTGTAAGACTGCCTGCAAGTGTTGGCGTGGTTCTTCACATTTTTGACCTGGATGCTTGCACTTTTGGCACCTACCCTAGCCTACCAACCAGCAACTCTTAAGATATAACTAAATAAATATTCCTGACCTAGCTTTTGGGCATCAATTAATTTTATCACTATCTTCGTTTGCCATGCTCTCTCACTTTCTCTTTAAATTTGACCTTGTCAGATCCAAAAAATCTTGAAGAAAAATATTAGGGAGGTGGGAATAAAATAATTGAGGAATGGAGAGAGAAGTTGAAGATACATCAATATATTTCACCAGTAGCTAGTGACAAAGTGCACTATTATGTTATCTCCTATCCTCCACCACTCCCCTTTAACAAGGTGGTATATGTTTTAATTGTAGCCTCATCGTACCAAGTTTTTACTTCGACATAACAGTGATTTTGTCTTTAATACTGATTGAAATCATATTCGGAAGGTTAGAAATGGTGCTCGAGTTGCTTCAGGGATAAATTTGTGGCCCTTAAATGCCATACAACGAATTATTTTTGTCAAATTTGGCCTGGACCGAAAGAAAATCCAATTTAGGACTTTTCTGTTTGTTTTTTCGTACTCAGATTTTTGTGGGACATTTGATGTTCTAAAATTTTGTGTCTACACTACCTTTCTTTGTGAGTTTTTCTTCTCTCTTCAATGTCTAATAAAATGTTATTTTGCTCCTATTACTGTTGTCTTGTGATTCTTTTTTTTTTTTTTTTTTCCCTTTATATGATACACTGCTCATGTGCTAGTTTGAGATTGTTGATAATGAAATCAAACGCTGAATGACCAAATTGACAACAAAAATAACGAGGTATAGATAGAGAAGCTTAAGATACATCAATATATAACACCACTAGTGACACAATGAAAGCTTAATACATATATAATTAGCAGCCTCTATACTCTTTTCTTGCGAGCCACGGTACCAGAATCTAGCAAGAATTGATTTTGTATGAGAGGGCATGCTGTACAACAAAGCAGATAAATTGATAAAAGGAATTAAAACATAACAAAATTTTGCAACAAACCAAAACGAAAAACATCTTGCACATAACCAAGAATAACCTGCTAGAAAACAGTCACTGACACACATACTGCAAGCGTAACATATTTTATCTGTAGGTAAGGCCACTATTGAACATTAGCCCAAACATTAAATATCTTACGTTCAGTTCTAATGTTGTATCTTACTTCATTTCCTTCGCCTACTTCCCTTGTCAGAATAATCCTGTCTCCGACGGCAAGGCCCTTTTCATCCACTAGTGTCAACCAATCTCCAGTGATGACTGGTTTTGGGTGGCCATGAGTCCGAGTAGAAAGCTTTAAGTTCCAATCGATCCCAGCAGTATCTCTCGCTTCAAAATGTACTGAAGTTTGGCCCTCGGTCAATATTGGAAAAGCCCAAAGGCTTTCGGTAGGATATGCTAGACGGTTTTTTAGGTCTGTGGGGGTTAAGATCTTATTTATGAGCTCCATCATTGATTCCAACTAAATGGGTATAGAAAATTTAGTGATATGCCATAGAAGTTTGAACAGATTGTAGAGAAGTTCGGATATGAGAGTTGAAGGTCCCTTGATCAAATTTATATACAGAGCGATGATATCACTAGCAAGATATCGTTCATTATCATGCGATAACGACATCCTAGATTGAGTTATCTGGAGAATTTTTCTTGTACTGGAATTGAAAATGTTTCACATTAGGTGGTTGCACTGGCAAGATACTGCATGGTCAAAAAGTTCTTTAAGCGACAAGCTAGAAGATTTGACTAACATGTGTATTATTGAGCCACAATGAAGAGGTAATCTATTTTTTTAAAAAAAAAAAACAAAAAAACAAAACGAAAAACTACAATGAATTATTCTGGTCTTTGACAATTTAAAGCAAATGCAGTGATTTGAATTTCTTGGCATTGTTTGATGAAAATGATGTAGTACTCATGCTAACTCTTTCCTGACAAAGTTTTCAACAAACGATATCTTTAATTAATTACATATGTTGGTCGATGCCAAGATGAGTACTAACAGAAAACTGTTGCACTTGTGGTTTTTTTTTTTTTTTCACGATATCTTTAATTAATTACATATGTTGGTTGATGCCAAGATGAGTACTAAATTTAACAGAAAACTGTTGCACTTGTGGTTTTTTTTTAAAAAAAAAAAATTGTTTGATTAGTTGCTATTAGAAAATAATATAAATCATATATTGGGACCTCACCTAATAGTTTAAACTTTTGGGAGAAATGATCCTTTAATATGGTATTAGTGCATTGCTAACCTAACGGTTAAGATTTTGAATCCTATCACCTTCACTTTCTCTTCTAATTAATTAAGCACAAGGTAGTTTGAGTCTACGTAAATTTCAAGTTTAAAAGGCTTTCACTTGAAATGGTGTCTTAGAACATAATATAAAGAATATATTGAGACCTTACCTAACGAGTTTAAGTTTTTGGATGACATAATCTCTTGACGGTCGCCATCTATATGGGATTCTTTTTGGCAATGACTTTTTGATTTTAGTTTTCATGTCGCATGATAATGAAAAAAAGTTAATAAAAAATGTTTTGAATTGGGTGGTATGATTAGCAAGGTCAAAAGATTAGTAAAAGAGACAAGCTAGCTAGAAGATTTGTCTTGTGTTATTGATTTTTTTTTCTTTTTTTTTTATGAAAATCAATATAGATTAAGAAAGAGAGAACCAACTTCTAGCTGATAAAATTAAAAAGTTATGACAAAGAAGTAAAATTTTCAAAATCAAGAATAAAAATTAGCACGATAGCCAACAATAAAATTGTTATTTCTATATAGACTACTTTTGGCGGAATAATCACCGACGTCATTCTCTTTTCAAAGAGTGCAATTCAAAGAGATAAGATCCAAAGGCTTTGATATAGCTTCAATAGAGTTAAAAAGACTTTGAAACTGCCAAGGCCTAGCTACAACTTTCTTACTCATCCAAAAAATATCATTAGCTAAATCCGATTCGATAATCCAGGACATCCGATGAGCATAGATAGAATTAACAATTATCTCTAAAGCCTTCTTAATAGCTAAAACCTTAACTTGGTTAAATTTTTTATTCTCATTGAAATAGAGAAAGTACACAAGAAAAAGCCTACATAATTTCCCGAGACACCTCTAATAAATTTGCAACTAACCACTAGTTTCTTTTGTGTGATTGAACTATATTTAATTAAATAGTAATTAGTAGACAAACATATGCAACTAATCAAACTTACAACCAATAGCTTTACTAGTTAAATCACTCTTGTGAGAGAGTTTATTACAAACAAGAACCTGTATTTTTTTATTACATCTTCTATTTGATGTACAAGATGAGTTATGTTACAAAGTAACATAAAATAACTCTTAAGGTCTCATCTATCAATTTAAAACTTTTAAGTCAAAATAATTCATTGACATGGTATTAAAGTTTTAATGACCAAACAATCATAGTTTGAATTTCACCAGTCGTAATTTCTCTTTTAATTAAATAATTAAGCACAAGATAGTGATGAGTCTTATCATAACTTAACTTTTAGGTTATATATTTTTATCTTATTTTTTATTATCCTCTTTCATTTATGTGTGCTTATTTTTTCTTATTTTTATTTTTGTTTTTATTTCATTTCATTTTCATTTAATTTTGATATTTTCTAAAAAAAGAAAAAAGAATGAAAAACAAAAAAAATGTCAAATGCAAAATAAAAAAATTAATCACATTAGGGGCATGATTGAACAAAACAAAATTGAAATTGAAGCAATTAAAGATACAATTAAAGTAATTGAAAATCCTAGGAATGAAATTACAAGATACAAGTACCTAATTGAAAAAATTAAAAGTATAATGACTACAATTACATATCCATATGGTATAATTGAAACAAAATTAAACATGCGGGGACATAAATCGACATAAGACATGAACAATAGGACTAATTTAGGATCACTCGAATTACCTATCGTCCAAACCTCCATATCAATAGGCTAGCTCCTACATCTCACCATCCTTTGACTCGTTCATCGTTATCAAAAAAGACAATAGGCCAAAGGGATAACAAGTCGACTCCTCCTTGCACCGTAATTCCCGTTAAAGAATTATGGTGTACCTTTTTCTTTGTCATGTTGCACCTTACCCGCCTAAAGCACACATAAAACACAATATACAAACATCAAGCTTCAGTTTTGGCCCCGTTCATACGAGCCAAAACGGACAACAAGGTGGAGGGCTTGTTTTGTTATGACGAATTTGAATTTAAGGGAATTCATCCCAAGAGTGAGAGGAGGAATTTTGGGTATAAATGAGGGTCGAATTAGGGTTTTCAATGAAGGAACAATTGAGTAAAAAAGAGCAAGAGAGAGGGAAAGCAAGAGTAATTGGAAGACAAGGAGTGAACGAAGGAAAAAGAAAGAGTGAAGGGGAAATTCAAAAAAAAAAAAAAAGGAAGCATTTATGGAAAATAGCGAGAAAGTATTGAGGGGATTTTGAAGAAGAAGAAAAACAAAGAGAAAGAAAATATTGAACTTTTTAGAAAGGACACCGATTCTTACAAGGCTTCTATGTATTGGAAAAGAAGCACCATCCGGTCAACTCCGCCTTACGGATAGCCCATTTCGATCGAACAAACCGAGTATCCACCACTCGATTATAACCTTCGATAAACTATCCATCGAACGAACTAGGTAAGTCCTCTTTCTCTCGTTAGCTTATGTTTTTGCTTTAAACTTCACTCCCGAAGTGGTTCGAGGTCAATAAATGATAGTGATATAGTCACCGTCATCATGAAAGCCCTACCTTGGTTGATCTATTGGACTAATTGGTTTATGGCTATTAGGATTTAGGATGGTAGCAAGGGATAGATGGGGTAATTGATAATTTATGATTATGAATTTGGTGTATTTGAAGAATTTGAAGTAAAAAGAAAGTTAGAGTTTCTAATTTAAGATGGGTTTGATGAAGAAGGAGAAACTTATGGAATAAGTGCAAAAAGAAGAAGAAGAGTGTGAAGAATAGATCAAAAGCCCAGTAGCTATTATCTAAGAGGAAGAAGATGAAGGGTTAGACGGTCTTGATAATATAATAGCTTAGGGTTTTGTAGGAGGAATATATAGTCTAGCTTATGGATTTGAGAGGGAAGTTGGGAGATCAATCTATGCTTTTCGGGTGAGAGGTTAGAAAGATTGAAGATGAGGAATTTTAGGTCCTTGAGCAAGGTGAAGGATAAGGCTTAGATGTTCGATTTGGAGAAGGATAGATAATCTAGGGTTTTTGATCGAGAGAGATACGAAGGGGAACTAATTTTTTTTTTAGTTGATGTTTTAGGACGAAGAAGAAGAAAAAGATAAAGTTTTAAATGGAGAAGATAAGAAAGTGAGTTTAGGAATTTCAATTTAGGGAAGAAGAAAGGCTACGAATTTGATTTTGGCAATTTGGTGACTCGGTTTAGGAAAGATATTCTTTTCTATGTGAGAGGTTAGAAAGATTTAAGAGGAGAAATTTTAGGGTTCTAGAGCAAGGTGAAAGATAAGGCTCAAATGTTCAATTTGGGGAAGGATAGATAATCTAGGGTTTTTTATTAGAGATATATGAAAGGGAACTGATTTGTTTTCTAGGTGATGGTTTAGGGTGATGAAAAAGAAGAAGAAGATAAAGTTTCGGACGAAAAAGAGAAGACAATGAGCTAGGGATTTCAAATTAGGGAAGAAGAAGGCTACAAATTTGATTTTGGCAATTTGGTGGCTGGTTTAGGAAAGGTGTTGATGGACTTAGGTTTTGGTTTAGGTTGAAGAAATATGAGAGGGTTTGGGAAAACCGAGGGTTTGAATGAGACTGGCCGAGCTTAGCCCGGTCTAAGCCCGATTAACGATGAAGTAAACAAGACTCCCAAAACGTTATCGATATAAAGTAGGATCATTAAGAGGAGTGTCATCGAGAGGTGTAAGTTTTCAATTGAGTTTCAAGAAGGTTGATATAGTTCTGCTATTAGTGATTCTAGCTCGAGAAATTAAGTTGGATGTATACTTGGTTTGAGAGAGCTAATAGCCTTCGATTTTTAAGAAACTTCAAGACCAAAAAAATAGCTAAGAAAACTACTAGGAACGTGTAAGATATCATTAAGATTAAAAAAAAATGATTAATAAGTTAAAAGGAAGAAGATCCAATATGAGAGATGGGAACGGGTTTACCATTGGTTAGATGTACTTCCTCGGGGCCAATATATTCATTATGAATCGTAAGGTTTTCCAATTGAGCCGTCATGTCATTAGTTGCATCAATGTTCATAATGTATTAATGATTTGGTAGTGCTTGACATAGTAAGGTTGGATAATGGTTTAGTAGGACGGTTTATTGAAGGTGATCGGAGAGAGGGACACAAATTAGCTAGGTGACTAGTTCCATTGCAGTTGTAACATATAATGGAGTAGCATTTATCATGGGAGCATTCTACCCTCGTTGCTAGTTTGTTTAAGGAGAACGA